TGTGTGTGTGTGTGTGTGTGTGTGTGTGTGTGTGTGTGTGTGTGTGTAAGTCAGAGGACAATTTGCCAGTCAGTTTTCTCATTCCATCACATAGGTCCTAGAAGTTAAACTCGGATTTGATGGCAAGTGTCTTTACCTGCTAAGCCATCCATCGTGGTGGTTCCAGAACCTGTCTTTTTAATGAATATTTTAATGGATGTATATGTACACCTGTGTGTGCACATAGTGTGTTCACGCACATGAGGGCCCAAGGTTGACACCAGGTGTCTCCTGTCACTCTCAGGGTATCTTGCAGAACTTCAAATGCACCAGTTCAGCTAGTCTGGCCAGCTAACTTCCTCCAGGGATTCCCATTTCCACACCCCACCATGCTCACCCAGCTTTTCTAAGTTCTAAAAATCTGAACTCTGGTCCCTAGCTTTTACAGCAAGCTCTTTACCTTCTGAACCAACTCCCCAGCTCAATACATATTTTGGTAACTGTAAATACAGTTTTCTTTAGGACATTTAGTATCCCCCGAGTATTAGACAGAAGCTAGTGGCAGCAGTAAGAAGTATATCCTTCATGCTCTTAGCCATTGTGGCCTCACATTAAACTAATCCGGTTCCAGCCTGCTTGGATTTAATTTAGACTAAATTCAAGCCTTTACAGTCCCAAATGGCACATAACACCAAAACTTCATCTTCCAACAAGTATTGCTTTGTCCCTCTCTTATCTGTATAGTGGGCTGCCTAATTACTCCCAAATATTTGAGTTGCCAACTAATTACACATATTTATAAGCATAATTTAGAAATTACTTAATTAGTCCTCTTTAAAAATTGATCTTAGGGCAGGCATATTTATTTATACTATCAGACAATATTCCGAAGGCAGCTTTTCTTTCAACAATCAATGAATGCATAATGAAAATGTAGTAGATGTACACTATGAAGCACTATTCAGATGTTTAAAGAAGTTGAAATTTGCAAGTAAATGGATAGAACTAGAAAATACTATGAACTCAGACCCCAGAAGGACAAATGTGACACGTTCTCTCTCATATGAGACTCCTGGCTCCAAATGTGACTCATAGTCTAGACTGACTGCAGAATACAGGACAGTAAGGAGGACATGGCCAGGCTGGGAGTGTGGGAGAGCAATAGAGCAGTGACAGGTACAAGTGATCTGGATGGGACGAATGAAAACTGGGGGCCAGGGCTCTAATTAGAGAAGGGGAAGGGAGAGCAATAGAGAAGGAAAAAAAATAACACTATGTCTGAATGAGTGTTAAGGAATCATTCGATTAACTACAAAAAGGAAAAAGGCCTATTAAACATGTAAGGCTGTGTATAAATATACATATATAGTTCAAATAAAAATTTTCCTAGCTGGGCTGATAATGCCATACCCCAAAACCAAAGACCATCTAACAAAAACCAAAACAATAGTCTCAAGAAGCCTTCTTTTGAGTCTGTGAAGGTTTGTGCAAGAGACTCCCAAAACATTACATGTTAATGCTCTTAACCCTTGACTGTCCCTCAAAATCGGAAGGTGAGTCCCTATTGCTGAAGGCACTATGCATTTCAGACACCAGTGCCCAGAGGCCCCAAGCTGGAATAGATTTGAAAGCCTTCTTTAGGAGGACTAGTTTTCATGGTTCAGAAGGTCTCTTGCGACCTTTCAAAGGAGGGAAGAAACCAACAGTCCCACCCAGATACAACACTGATGAACCACAACTATGGCCACCATGGCACTATAACCCTAAGGATATAGTAGTGGCATACATACCTTGGTGGTAACCAGTAGCTCTCTAACTGGACTTATCAACAAAAGGGATACCATGCCTGTCTCTAGAAACCTAGGCAGTACTCAGGGCTAGTGAAGTAATAGATCTTGAAAGAGAACCTGTAACTACCACTTTACTAAACCAGCATAATCCCCAACTACATTCTAAATATTTATCCTTAAATCCATATGCAAGTATAGTCCTCACCCCTCATCAAGGAAACTTCTCTTTGAAGCAGAAGGAGATTGTTACAGAAAACTACAGCCAATTGTATGTTTAGTTGTAGAGCCCAGTCCTAATGGATAAATTTATTAAACTACTCCCACACTTAAGGCTCCAGAATCATTGCAAAGGAGATGCAAAGATTCTAAGAGCCAGAGGATCAGAGAATTTGCTATTGGTACCATGTTTCCTAGAAATATCAGAGGCTATACCCATAGTCTGACCAATATGGCTACATAAACATGAGCTGAACAAGGACAACAGCAATAGAGATGCATACTACTGCGGCTGGGGAAAGTCCACAATGTCTCAGTCCTATACAAACAACTACAGGCAAGGAATGCTGGGAGTGGGAGAAATATATTCTTCCCCAGTGAGGAGCACACTACTAGATATCCAATACCAAATTGTCCCTGAAAACTTACAAATAACATTATTCAGACTGAGCAGGTTGTGTTTATGTGTTTAGTAGAATGCATGTATAGGCAAATGTATATGTTACAATTCATGGAAAAAAGATGCCATGAATTTGAAAGACATCAAGGAGGAGTGTTCAGTAGAGTTTGGAGAGGGGAAGGTATGGAGACAATTATGCAATTATGTTATTCTAAAAAAAATAAAAGAAATACTTTTAAAAGGTAGCTTGGAAAAAAACCCTGCAGTTACACAAAGTGCCTGAGTTGACGCCAGTTTTCCTCAGTTGGCTGTATAATTAACAAGAATCAGTAGGTGTCTAACAGTTACTATATACAGCATTCAAATACAGAAGGAACTCCTGAAGTGTGCACTTTGAGGACAATCCAGTTTTGAGGTATATTTTCTAGTATATTTCCAAATTATTAGTTTGGCCAAAAATCCATCATTACAGTCATACAACTCAGTTAGGCTGCAAAGATCTGCAAAGTGACCATGACACCACCGTAGTCCAGCCTTGTGTCCTCCCACTCCCTGTAATACTCCATGACCCCACCGTAGTCCAGCCTTGTGTCCTCCCACTCCCTGTAATACTCCATGACACCACAGTAGTCCAGCCTTGTGTCCTCCCACTCCCTGTAATACTCCATGACACCACAGTAGTCCAGCCTTGTGTCCTCCCACTCCCTGTAATACTCCTGGAGACGGATTTTCTGGAGGGAAAAATGAATTAGTTCACAGGAAGTGGTACCAATGCTTATATATGAGATAAGTGCTCTTCCATTCATGAATCTATGTAACTGATTGTTATGTAATGTTGTTAGACTTCTTTTTCAAATTAGTTACTTCTCTTGAAAAGAGACTTTAGTCTACAGAATTCCCTACATCAAACTGTGTGTTATGGGCACACCTACTGTTCATTCAATATAATGAAGATAAATTCTGATTGGAAATTTGGATTTGAGTACACCAAAATTAAAGTGTTTTGGCTAAAACATAACAAAGACTAGCAAAAGCCTACTTAAGAAAATTCTGGGTGCTATTAGCTGGGTTTCTGATCTCCACAGTGCCGAGCACGTGTTCTCACAAGCTCTGCTGTGGGAGCCCTGCACAGCTGGTCCAGTGCCATCCACCTACAGTGGTATGCAGCTCCTGTACAGGTCCTTGTACACACGTCTTGGGTTTTCTGCATGAAGAACACTGAAATGTAACATAGCATTCACATTGTTTTATTCAGTGTATTTTTTTCTCCTGGGACTCCATGATTGTTTCATATCTGATAGAAAATAACTAGTCCTGTTTACAGCATGAAAACGTTCTTTGGTTAAAAAGTGGGAGATGCCCCAAATACATAGGGCTCAGCAACAGCCTTCCTTACAGCTGGCTGCTACCATAGTGGTCATGGGAGCACCTGCCTTCCTTCTGCTTTTCCTGCTGTGTTCTGGTCCAGCTCTTGAAGTTTCCTCCACGATATCAGTACCGAACTATTTCCTTCAAGAAAATCAGGGATCTGGCAAAGTCATGCAATGGTTTTCTGGCAAGTATGACTTTTTTTTTTTCTCCAAGGCTAGGAAGTGTCTCCTAAAACTATGTAAGTACAAGGGTATCTTCTGTGTGGATACCAACCAAAGCAAGACCAGGAGCTGCTGCTGTCTGAGGAAGCCCAGTCTCCAAAAGATTCAAAAAATATTTTTGGGAAGGAGGCTGCTGGCTGCCAGGGCCCTGGGTTTTCCTTTCTGGAAGCCATGGTTTTGGCCAAGCCTCAGAATATCTAACTACCACAAAGGCCCTGAAGCATAAGGCCCTAACAAGGAATACCTGATATCCCTACTTAAGATAATAGCATTCCTTTACCCAGGCCCAATGGAATATAAAATTCTAGGCTAACCAGAAGAACCTGTCTGATTTTTTTTTCATGATCAATGGAAATTTACATTCACTGAATATTTTCAATGAGCTAGTGCTACCAT